CAAAATTAAATAATAAATAGTTATAAGGAATTCACATCACACACACACACACATATATATATATATATATATATCCTAGTTGCATCATGGAATATTCATGGTAGTAGAGAGATGTATATGTAATGTCGTAACTCTAAACAAAAATCCAACATACAAACAGATAGAAAAAAGTTGTATGTAATTCACAAGAGACGCCAACATTTTTACATGGAAAATCCTGAGAAAGAAAAAACCACGGGGCTTTGCCTAGCTGAAATGGCTTCACTAGTAATTTGAATAGAAATACATCCATTATCCCAGCTACTGGGAGAATATAATATATTATATTCTTTTGTCGATATTCAAATGGGTATTCTTGGTGCAAAGATCTGGCGATGATTGATTGTTGGAAAGCAATCCAGTGGTAGTCATCAAACAAGTGGAAAGTCGGTGATAGTCAGAGAATGGGCGGAAGTTCGACCACGATTGGTGGTTAAGAAGAACTTCGGTGGCGGTCAGGAATAACTTGGCGATTAGGAATAACTTCGGTGGTGGTTGAGAAGAACTCCGACTGTGGTCGAGAAGAACCTCGACGGCGGTTGGAAAGAACTTTGATGGTAGTCGGGAGAAACTCCGGCAGTGGTCGTCGGCAAAAAAGCTCTCAAATTTCTTCCCTCCTTCCTTCCTTTTTTTCTCCTCCCCCCTTATATAAAGAATGAGAACTTATTTATAATTTTTAGGAGTGATATGACTTGTAAATACGGAGAATATCAATATCAAGTTTGGAGTGTTATAATGGATGACCAATAGCGATTCCTTCGATCGTAGATTATTGATTAAGCATTTGTGTGCCTTAATGATGTCAAAATTCAGCAATCTTGGACTCGTTGGATTAATTCATCTTGTCGAGCCGCTCAATCCGACTATAAGCATGTCATATTCAACAATCATTTGGTTATCCAATTGATTTTGATTCATTTGAGTTCATATTATATTGATTTTGGTGTCGTTGGTGTGAAACCCGATTTTCCTTCCAGGTTCGTCCGGACGAAGATGAGATCGTCCGGGACGATCAGTTCAAAATTTGCGGGCAGAGAAGGTTCGTCCTAGGACGAAGTCAAATTCGTCCGTACAAAATTTGTCCAGAGAGCAAGTCGTCCAGGTACTATAACAAATTCGTTTGAACGAATTTTGTCCAGAGGAGAAATCATCCCGGGACGAATAGGAATCTTCCCGTACGATCCATGTTTGTATATATCCAAATGGTCAATTTGAAGAGAGAAAAAAATATGAGGAGAGAGAAAAACGAAGGAAAAAGGAAGAAAAGTGGATTTTGGGCGACTTCAATCCGTTTTCGTCCGTCGTCGTAGTTGGAAACATTGATCAACTCGAGGTAAGACACATTCCGCCTTTCTCAATTTTCAGAAATGTGGATTTTGACGATTTTTCTGTTCAGAATTTTGTTTCCGTTAGCGAATATCTGGTTTCATTTCATACTGATAAATGTTTTACCGCGTAACTTTTGGTATGTTTCTAAGATGATGTTTTTTCATGTTTTTAGTATTTCTGGAAGATTTTCATCGGGTATTTTGAATTATGCAGAATTTTTATCGAATAGCGAATTATCTTGATGTTGAAAATATTTGCTTCAGTACAATGAAAGTCTTGAAATAATGTTTTCTGCTATCTGTGGTAATTTGATAAATTTCTGAAATTGTGAATTCTGTGGAATTTCCGTATACTGCCGTTTTGCCGCTGACAATTTTTCTGACGAAATCTGATTTCTAAATGTGATGATTTGATGTGTTTGTATGCTATCAAGGGAGTTATAAGGGCACAGAATCCTTGAGATTCTGTTAGGGTCTGAGAATCTGAAAACAAGTTCTGATTTGATAATTCTATATCTCTAATATGTTCTGGTGCTGTAAGCACAAGGAAGGCATAAGGGGCCCGAATCCGTTGAGATTCTCTCTGTGTTAGGAAAGGGAGGCATAAGAGGCCAGAATCTGTTGAGATTCTGTCAGGGTCCGGGAATCTGATCTGATATGTGATATGTGATCTGATCTGTTTTGACAATGTGCTTTATGATTTGTACGATTCTGGCTGTTCTGTGATTTGAAGATAATTCAGTTTTGAAATCTGATTTGAATATTCTGTTATACGAAATGAATTCTTCTGTATTAGTGATTTGAATATTATGGTAATCAAATATCTGTATCATGTCTGATTATACGATTTTCTGTAAAATTATCTGAAGTCTGTACGACTACTTTCTGATGTATTTTGGATGTGAGTTTTTGGAGATTTTGATTGGCTGGTGTAGTCTTGTTGAGCTGTTAGCTCATTTTTGTTATCTGCGTGATTTTCAAGTTCTTGGAAAGGGAAGGAGGTCTTGGACTAGCCGTTCAGTGTCTGATCTGAGATTAGGTATTTTGTACTTTTGATTTTTGTACAGCCATGACTTTTCTATTCTATTTTTTCTGTCTGTAGCCATGCACTGTATTGTACATGATTATTTTGAAGAAAAGAAGAAGAAAATTTTAGATGAATTTCTGTATATTTGGACGTTTTAGCAGCTCTATGTTTTCTATATGTCTATTTATTGGAAGAAAGTCTGAAAGCAAATTCCAAAGCTACATCCTGGATTAATCCATCGCGACCCAACACGAAGGGATTCGTTCCGGTCGGGTTGGGTCGTGACAGTTGAATTTGTCTCTTTGAAAAAGATTTCGGTCTTGTTCCAATTCCAACCATTCAGAATTCCAAGTGGTTCCTTTGAAGAAAAGCTTGTAATAGACCTGAAGCATCTTCTAAAGTACCTGTAATTGTTAGTTTCATGAATCCCTGAAACTATATTATAATTGTGTATTGCGAGCGCCCAAATGATTCCTTTATGATTTCTAGCTTTGAGAGGATATTCGTTGTAGTTTCTTTCAAGTCAAGTTTGCCTCTTCCCATCGCAACTTTATTCTACAATTGCAAATAAAATAGTTAGAGTAGGCATTTATAATTTTATATAGGGGCTTTTCTTAATTCTATTGCCTTGTTAAGCTCTTTAATAAGAAGATAGCCACCTTACCAGCGATGAGTCTCAGCTAGGGGTGCAAGTGCATGGGGTAAGTCGGCTCGTGAGCCAGGTCGAGCTCGGGTTGATAAATGATTCGTGAGTCGAGCTCGAAGAATTCACGAGCTAGCTGGACTGAAAATTTCCTGACTAAACTCGTTAGCTCCCGAGTCTATTTGTTTAAAAGATGTTAGTGTTAAATGCACTTGATATATTAACATTCTGGAGTTTAAATACAAAGTTGTTTAAAATATTTAGAAAAATATACAACATTTTATTATATTAAGTGATTATTTATTATTTATCTTCTAATTTCTCATTACTTTTATTATTTTATCATTATAATTATTTTGATCATAATTATTTTCTATCTTTCATAATAAATGAGTCGGCTCAAACTCGTAGAATAAAGTTCGAGCTCGAACTAGATTAAATAATCATGCTCAAGCTCAAGTCAAAGATGACTGAAGCTTAGCTCGACTTCTTACACCCTTAAGAGAAATTATTCTGTGCAGAGACCGGACGGCGAAAACCGTTCAAATTTACTGACATTTAGCTATTCTTTTGTTGTGCTTTTACAAATACTCAACAAAAGGGTGCATGTTTGATGTCATTTTCCTGAGTATTTATAAAGTGGTGCAAAAGGTCAACAAATATTCAATTAGTAGGAAATTTGTTGCGTTTTAGCTGTTTTTTTGCCGCGCTTTTGCAAATACATAGCAAAAACGACAACAAATAAGCATTCATAATTGCATATTCGTTATCCTTTTGTTGCGTATTTGCAAAAGCACAACAAATCCGAACGGTTCTCGATGTTAGGTCTCTGCATAGAATAAAGTGATATATTTTAAATAAAAAATAAAAGAAACTTTGAATCTCTATTTATGGCGCTCAAGCTCTTTCCTTATTAAAATTTTTTTAATTCTTCTTTCGGCAAATTTTCAAAATTATATGTATAAAATAAAAAAGCCTTTAAAGATGTGGCCGACTGGCCGCGTCTAATGAAAATTAAGCGATGCTTTTTAGGAAATTAAAAGCAATATTTGTTAACAAATTTTTTTAATGGTTTATCGTTTTAAATATCATATATTATTCTTCTTTAACGGGTAAGATATCATATAAAAGCATTGTTTAAAATAATTTAATAAATATAAAATATTACCAAGAAAATAATTTTAAAAGCCATAATAGACAAACACATATCACGAATAAGAAATGAAGGATCATAAGTTTGGCGTTCTAATGGTACCGTTAAGCCAAAATCTATTTAATAAAATAATTTTTAGGGTTCTTTTGTGATGACTTTTTTATTGTTTCTTAAAACAACTTTTTAGCACTAAATTTTTAATTTTTGCACTAAAAAGCTACTTTAAGAAACAATAAGAAAGCCGTTCTAGACTTCGTTTGGGGGGCCTTCTTAATATTTTTTAAAGTAACTTTTTAGTACAAAAATTTTAATTTTTTTAATAAAAATTTGCTTTAAGAAACAATAAGAAAACCGTCCCAGATAAGACTTTAGTCTTCATTTCTGATAGATTTTTCATTGTTATAGTATAAAATATTTGTGGTACTATATAGTAAAACTGTGTTATAATATAAAAAATTTTAATTTAAAAAATTATTTTATTAAAAAACAAGTGTCAAATTTTATATATACCATAATTTTTTAAATTTTTAATTTAAAATTTTATTTCAAAAAAATTATTGTATTGAAAAACACTTGTATTAAAAGATATTTAATTAAATAAAAAAATAATATTCTTAATATAATTAAAATTTAACACGTGTCAAATATTTTAAAAAAATTTTATATACCATAAAAGTCGAATAAGAAGAATATCTTTACCTAATTTTTTTAATTTAATATGCAAAAAGATCCGATTAGGATTGAGTCCATATCCGTTCCATATATACCCCGTCTTGGCTGTTCTGATCTCATAAATTTTTTTTCCCACTTTCCCTTCGCAACTTCTTGTAGCTATCGACAATCTCCCCGCAATGAAACGCGACGGCGGCGAGAGCTTCTCACCGGAAGTCAATAGCCGCAGCACTGCCGCCGCCGGTGATGGTTCGAGCATCGAACAGTCTGCAAAGCGGCCCCGCGGCCGCCCAGTAGGATCGAAGAACAAGCTCAAACCACCTGTGATCATCACATGCGACTCCGAACCCGGATCCGCCCTCCGCACCCACGTGCTCGAAATCCCCGGCGGCCGCGACGTGGCCGAATGCCTAGCCGCCTTCGCTAGCGGCCGCGGCATCTGCCTCTGTGTCCTTGCCGGCTCCGGTCCCATCTCCACAGCCACAATACGGCAGACCTCGCCTTCCTCCGCCGCCCTGACCTTCCGCGGCCGATTTGACCTAATCTCCCTCTCCGCAACTTTTCTAATGGCCGGCGGCGGAGGGGGGAACATGTCGGTGTCGCTCGCCGGGCCGCAGGGCCAGGTTATCGGAGGCGTGGTGGTGGGGCCGCTGGTGGCGGCTGGTAAGGTCATGGTGGTGGCGGCTGTTTTTTCCGATCCGGTTTTTCACCGGCTTCCGGAGCTGGAAGCGGAGGCTTCGGGATCTGTGTCGGGAGAGGAGGAATCGGAGAGGAGCAGGGCGGCGGAGAAGAAGGAAGAGGAGGGTCGAAGCGGGTATGCCGTTCGTGGGCTTCAAACATCGGCGAAAGATGACGACGGCGCGGCGAGGTTTGGCGGCGGGCAGTTTGGGGATGACGGCGTTTGGGCTCCGGCAACCCGCCCGCCGGCTTATTAGCTTAATTTCTATTTGAAATATGCTTTTTTATTTCTTCCTTCATGTTTTTGGAGGTTTTTATGCATTGGAAATATCAAAGGGAGGTCTTTGAATCTTTGATTTCGGTGAGAGTTGATGAGTGAAATGTAATGATGCCATAATTTTATTTTTTATGAAGTGATCTAACTATTTTCATTTTAATTTAAATTCAAAAATAAATAGTTTTTCCTCACTTTTTATAACTTTTTTAGAATAAATTATTAAAGATAATATTTACAAATTTGTCTTCCTTCTGTTCATATATTTATAAAAAAATATTCCTCTTCAACTCATCATACGTTCAGGTGTCAAAAAGAGTTGATGAAGAAGGTTTGGATTCGACCTGAAATTGACTGTACTCGAATCTAGCATGTTAGTTCTATATGAAATCTGGTTATGTCAATCGATTGGGTTATATTGTTATTTCGGACGTTAAATTTATTGGTTGAGCTCGTTGGGGGGATTTAGATAGCTCCTCGCTATGTATTTTTTCATTTGTGCTTTGCACTAAATTTTTTTTTTTTAGTACAAACGTACAATGCTAAGGTTTTGTGTATCCGAGCATTGTGGCACTGTATAGTTTACCTGGGGACAAAAAAATGCGAGCATTATGGTGTTTTTTAGCTAGACTGGAGATAGAGCACTACAGTGTTCAAAACCTAGCATCGTAGAGCTACGAGTTGGGTTGGCACTTTGTCAATTATGTGTGGAAAATGAAATAAGGTAGTAAAGAGAGACAAGGAGAGAGCGAGATAGAAAAGGTTTGTAAAATTTCTCCCAATTTTTAAAGTCGATTTTTTGGTGTGGTGTGGCTTCATAAGTTTTTCTTATTTCTGATTTTTTTTTTCAGATTAAATACCGATTTTTTTCCATCTATATTTTTTCTTTTTTATCTGTGTTCGCTGCATGGTTTACTTCACAATATAATCAACACTAATTTGATCCGTTTAATAAAGAGATCATGAAGACCAACCCAAATCCAACCCGCTATAAACCCAAATGACTCGAATCTAACATAATAATCTATTTTGGTTAAAAAAATTATATATTAACTATAGTTTTTAGGATTGATAAAAAATGATAAGATTGTACCAACAGTTAAAAAAATTAAGGAAAAAATATTAAAAATATCATTTTGAAATCAAAAGCGGGGTCACACGCAAAATCAAATCTAAGCCATTTATTAAACAAATCAATTCAAATTTAAATTTTTTGAATCAAATGGATTGATCAGGTCATTTATAGGCACCGCTAATTCAAAATATGGTAAAGCAATGATTTCTTTATGATTTATTTTTTTTAATTTCCTCATGATCTAGAATTATTTGTTTAAAAAATTTAAAAATATTATTATTTCTAATGAACTTCATTGCTGGACGTTAATTCTAGTCAAGTTTAAAATCTCTTCTTGATTTTAAGATTCTTATTATGAATGTATACTTTACGTTATCCAAAACTTAGTATTTTTATTTGCATCGATGTGATGGTCCATACTATGGACCATCACATCATACGGTACTGATAGTTCTAAATATTAGAAATATATTAGAAATAATAGAAATATAACCCAAATTTCCCCAAAAATTTATATATATATATATATAAATATTAAAAAAAATGAAATAATATTTTCTTATAGCTTGTATATATAAGTTTTGATTGTGAAAAATAAATTTTAATAGTAAAAATAGCAAAAAAAAAATACTAGAAAAAAATGTGGTTACCATTTTAAAAAAACAGCAAAAATAATTTCTTGGAGAGGTCAAGATTAACGAACCACATATTTCTCTCATGCTTTGTTTGAGATGGATTTTATATTGTTTTTAATAACAGAATTTTATTACAAAAATTTAAATTTTTACTAAAACTATATTTTAAAAAATAATAAAAAAATCGTCCTAAACAAAACTTTAAAATTAATTTCTCTATATTTATCTCTTCTGAACTTAATACCAGACTCTAAAAAAATAAAAAAATAAAAATTTGAAAAAAAAACTTTGTAGTTAATTTTAAATAATTGTTGTTAACGTAGGAAATAATTAGTTTTAAAAACTTTATTAATGCTTAAGAAGAAATGTTTTAGTGAAGATATTTTCTATTAAAAGTTTCTCATTGAAGCTTAATTAGGAATATAGTTTATATTACTTTTGGTAGTAGAGGAATTGGTTAGGTGGGAAGGCAAAGGTATGTGTCGCATGACTGATAATAATCATTACATCTCCTAATCACAACTCTTGGTTAATGGAATGTGCTTTTACCACCTACCACATAGCCTTTATATAATTTTTTTTTATTTTAAAAACTCATTTCATTAATATACTTTCGGAAAATAAATTTTTATTTATTCTCAGCGTAAGAAGAAAATCATAATTATATATTTGTATATATATTTTTTTCAGGTACCTAGAGAATGGTTAATAAGTCGCTAAATCACATTCATTGGAAAACACAGAGGTAGATCACTGATCAAGGGGCAATTAATGTTGGTATGTGTGGAATCTAATTGTGTTTATACTGTTATTTTGGATCTCATAAGTGAATTTCTCATGCTCGTTAGGGGTCACCGTTAAAAAAATTATTATGTACAACACTCATGCACTGTGTATCAGAGCGCCCCGATGCTGTGTACCCAAGCGCATTGACGTTGTGTTCCTGAGAGCCCTGATACTGCAAAGTTTGCTAGAAAAATGATAAAAAGAGGAGCATTATGTATTAGAGCGCCTCGGGGCTAAAAAAATATTATGTACAACACCCAGGCACTATGTATTAGAGCGCCCCGGTGCTATGTACCAAAGCGTCTCAGCGTTGTGTTCCTGAGAGCACCGATGCTTCAAAGTTTGCTAGAAAAAAAAAATGATAAAAAGTGGAGCGCCACGGCACAATACAATGTCATAGGGCTGCGGGTTTACACACCACAACATCGCTTGATGGATCAAGATCAAAGGTTTTAGCGTTGCAGTGCTCCAAGCTCACAGTGTTTCGAGCCAGACTAAACATTTTTCTTTCTCATTTGTTTGAAGGGTGGTGTCCATTGGTATTGTTTACTTGTTTTTCTCTTATGTTTTGTTAGTGAGAACGATGTAAGAAATAAGAGAAGCAATAAGAAAGTGACAGAGAAGAGGAATATGTATTTATTTCTCCCAATTCTTATAGTGAATTTCTTGGTGTGGTGTGACTCCGTAGTTTTTTTTTATTTATTTCAAGATTTTCCACATTAAATCCTGATATTCTTTGACTTTCAGTGTCTTTTCTATTTTCTTATTTATTTCATGTTGTGATTTACTTCCGCCCCCAACAGTTAAAGCTTCTAATAGATTACGTGACTCGCCATTTTTCTCACGATGGAAGATTGGACATAATAAATAGACAATGTGGACATAAAAGACCAACAGAGAATGTGATGTACATATTACATCATCAAATGGACGTCACAGATGTTCGATCAAATGCTAATAAATAAACAGGACAAAATTAGACAAAGCCATGGAAATATATCTCAATCTTTCTTCAGGTCAATGTCAACTTGATGACTTCTTCTGCACAGAATTACAATAAGTCTCTTCCGATAATTAGGTTCGGTAAGTTCTTTGAACCTTCAGCATTTATGCAGGAAATGGGTGGGCTCTCCTGCCTAACATTTGAAGTTTCTGCTCCACATCATTACTAGGGGGCAAAAGCTATGAGCATTTGAGTTATTTTTATCTGAAAAAAATTTATGTAGAAAATACTCTGATGTAGTTTAGGTTAAAATGAGTTTGAAAGTCTTAAATTTGTATTGAGTTATTGGTATTATATAAGGGAGTAAATGAGTAGTCTAGTTTGAAACATAGCAAACTCGAGCCAGACTTATCTCTCAAAAAAGCAGCTTGAGCTCAAGTCGAGCATATAGAACAAGCTCGAGAGTGATAGACTGTTTAGGTTGTTAAACCAACAGTTAAGGTAAACAGTAAATGAGTATTAGTGAGAGTTTTCATTATCTCAAGTGTAAGTACAGCATCCCTATTTATAGGGGTTTAAGTACAAGATTAACCTCTCTAACTACACTCCACGTGTACATTGATTATTGGTAGTTGTACTTTCTTGATTTTTAGATGCTTCTAGATCCTTGTTGTCTAATAGAGAGCTTGACTTGTCCCTTTTTTTTTCTTGGGCTTAAGAGCTCAACTCAATATGAAATAGAGTCGGGAGCTTTGAGCTTTGCTTCATTAACACGATAGAAGTTGAGACTAGAGGTTGCTGATGACGAAATACAATGTAGTTTATGCTCGTTTTGAAGGAGGAGAAATAAATAAACGTCGAGACACATTATTGACAAAGAGGTTGCAGAAGACAGATTCCTGGGTCGAAAATTTTGTTCTCATTATTTCTCTCCTCTGGAATAGTCTTCTGGAAATCCACCAAACTTTCCAATAATATTATGTTGGAAGAAGCAGGATCAGTACATCCCCCAAGGAAATCTGGGCGGGCAGATGCAAGGGTAGTAATGTATTGCTGAAAGAGGTTCCGAGTAGCATCTGCATTGCTCTCCGGGGTGTAAGTCGGCAGAGCTTTCTCCCATCCTGCAGGAAGTTCTCCCAATATGATTGCTTTCAGCTCTGCTGCTTCCACTTCGTACTTCTCATATTCAACAAATTCTGCATTCCATTGTGCTTCAAGAGTAGCTCCTTTAAGGACATGGTGGCTCTAATGGCTTTTTACATCAAAGCTCTTGGATACACAAACCCAGAATTTAAGATCAATTTCCTCTGTCATTTCATCTTCGTAGAATGCTGCACGAGATTTGTCTTTCCCATACAACCATGCCCCACAATAGATAGAAGAGAGATATTTCTGTACAAATCAATTCCCGAATGTCCATGTGATGGCTTCCTCAACCACTGCATAACAAATTCCTTATCCTTGCCTCTACCGAGGAGATTATTTCTAGGCAAGGATCCAGGTTCGCATGCTTTGTACAACTCATGCTGTTGATCTTGCTTTGTGCTTTCTAATAGATGAAGAACCTCAACTGTGAATCGATCTCCCTCGACAATTTCAGCAATGAAATCGTCAACAAATAACTGCCCGAAGTCAGTAGCGACATTACCTCGAGTAGCTTGTGAGCATGGCGTTGGATTAACTTTGTCAGTGGACTTCTCATCAAGCATTTGCACACCTGTAAG